AAAACCAAAACAGTAAATAATACTGTAATCAATAAACAATACGTAATAAAAATAACTAAGGTTTTTATATACTGTTTTACAGAAAAACGATGAAGTTTTTATGTTCTTCAAATCGTTTTCTGAATTTCAATATCCTGATGAAGTTTTTATATCTTCAAATCAGAATAGTAAAATTCAGACAGAATACAGAATATATTAAATTTAATTTCCTTAAGATTGTTATATATCTGTATTGCTGAAAATAAATTAAATAATAATCTTTCTAAAAACAAAAAACAGAAAGTTAATAGAAATTAAATTCCAAAAAAACAGTAAACTTCTTCAAAATAAATTCTGAAAACGTTGCAGGAACAAATCGAGCCCACTGAATACACAGTGTGTCCTTAAGGAAATTATTCCCCTCAAGTACCCGAGGTTCTGGAATATATCCTCCCAGGATAGAATGATTTAACTCACCAGTGTATCGGTACCTAAAACTCTAGTGATCGGCGAACCACTCGATGGTCGTAAAACACACTGGAATAGTGCAGAAGAAGAAGAAGATTCAGAAAATTTAGTAAGTAAATATTTTGGGATTTGAAGGTATATTTATAGCCAACTTGGTGATGTTTCTGAAGAGGTTTGCAACCTTTCAGAACAGCCATAGCTGTTGGAACAGGTGTGACACTGTTTCAGAACAGCCATGGCTATTCAAAATATTGCGCGAAATATAAAACGGATTTAAAATAATCCGGGAAAGAAAAACGGGCCGGACCGGACCGAGTCGCGGGTCATGGGTTATTTCTGATTGAATTTTCTTTAATTAATTTAATTAATTAATTAAATATTTGAAAAAAAATTTGTCCAAAAAGATTAATCAATCAATCGATATAAATACGAAGCCGAAGCCGAGCGACGACGGCGCGAGGCTTGTCTTCTTCTTAGCTCTTTAAGAGCTAAAAGATGAGCTTGTCTTTATATACACAAAGATTTTCTTTCCTTCTACCAATGAGGGACAAAGTGCATAAGTGAAATGAACTCATTCAAAATTTCACTTCCCTCCATTTCTTTTCCCACAATTTTCCATTACACTTCTTTTGTTATTATTTATTAATAACAAACCCAACACATAGCGGGAGCTTTAACGTAACTAGTAAAGTTGTTGTCATGTGACCAGGAGGTCACGGGTTCGAGCCATGCAAACAACCTCTTGTAGAAATGTAGGGTAAGACTGCATATAATAGACCCTTGCAATCCGGCCCTTTCTCGAATTTCGCATAGCAGGAGCTTAGTGCACAAAGCTGCCCGCTTATGTATAACTGTTAACATCATATTACTTGCTCCAGTTGCGATATGTAATTATAATAGGCCAAGGGTGAATGGGTTGAGAACTTGAGACTGGAAAGTCAAAGATTAATGCTACGCCACTAGGTGTGTTAGGAAAAAGAAAAGAAAATATTGTAGTGGTTTTATACATAAAGTCCCTTTCCAAAAACTTAGCAGGAAGAATAATGAAAGAAACTAATGATATTGTGTTCGCCAATAATGAAATTAATGAATGTCAGCATTATCTAAAAACATAGAGATTAGCTTAATCAGGCTGCTTCCTGTGACAAGTCAAACTCATGCGCTACTTCAGCTTTTGATACTGAACGATTTTGAAATTACCTAGTAAAATTATGTTTCTCTTGTTTGTAATAGAAAAATCGCTTAGAGCCCGTTTGGCTTAGTTGATTTAGAGTAGCTGATAAGCATTAGGTGTTGAAAAGCACTTTTAAGTACTGAAGCTGATTTAAAAAATAAGCAGTTACGTGTTTGGATAAAAGTGCTGAAATTAATAATAAGCAGCTGAAGAACTGGGTATACGAAGAGTTTTGTTCTAAAAAGAAGTAGTTTAGGGATAGAATAGTAAATATTTTGGTCAAACCTAAAGTGCTTATAAGCTGAAATTTGATAAGTTGGGGGAGACCAACTTATGGCTTTTGGCTTATTTTTGGCTTATAAGCACTTAACTTATAAGCACTTTTAATTTTACCAAACGCATAGATAAGCCAAAAAGTGCTTATAAGCCAGTTTGACCAGCTTATAAGCTTAGCCAAACACCCTCTTAATTATATTTATAATACCCAGAAGATCATTCAATTAGATTTTTTAAACTTTCGATGGCCAAATACTTATTTTACCTTCTAACGTATCAACCTTTATCTGTTTTTAATACCTTTTTAATATTTTAATTTTTCTCTCTTTTACTTTGTGTGATAGACTTAATAGAATAAATAATGTTATTTATAAAGTAAAAAATAAAAAGAATAGCTTTAGGGTATATATAAGCCATCCACCTTGTTATGAGATTGATGGAACAGTATAGGGAGAGAAAGAAAGACTTGCATATGGTGTTCATCGACTTAGAAAAGGCGTACAATAAAGTTCCGAGGGAGTTTTTGTGGAGATGTTTGGAGGCTAGAGGTGTACTTGTTGCCTACGTTAGGTTGATTAAGGACATGTATGATGGAGCAAAGACTCGAGTGAGGATGGTGGGTGGGGACTCGGACTATGATCGGCACTCAGCCCTTTTTTGTTTGCTCAGGCGATGGACGTACTGACGCGCCACATCTTAGGGGAGATGCCGTGGTGCATGTATAAGGCCCCGTGAAAACTTGTGCTCAAAACTTAGAACTCGTAGTGCCAAGTTATGAATATGTGTTCGGACCCTTTGTACTGATCTAAGCATTTAAAAAACAAGAATCAAAGTTTTCCAGAAAAGTGCTATTATGCGGTCCAGAATGCGGTCACAGATCAAGTATGCGGACCGCATTTCTACCGCAAAGTGAGTCAGTGTGTTAGTCAAATTTGAGGTCAAAAATGCGGTCCATTATGCGATCGCATAACTGACATGCGGACCGCATAGTCTTCGCATAATTATCTTGGAATTTTGTAAAGGGCAGTTCTGCGGTGCATTATGCGACCGCAAAACGGGTATGCGGACCGTATTTCTGCCGCAAACCCAGACAGAATGATCAGATTTTGGGAGCACTTTTGCGGTCCATTCTGCGGGCCGCATTTCCACTTTGCGATTGCAAACCTGACTCGGGGCTCCAATTTTTCTAATTTTTCAACCCGATCCCTTCTTCAATAAAACACCCCAACCCTTCATTTTAACCCATTTTCTGAACAAAAGTAGAGAGAGGGAAGGGAGGATTCCTGAGAGAGAAAGTCTCATCTCTATCAATTTGATTTTCAAAGTCACCCAGGCCTGGAAATTTCGAGTAATTATCTTCATCTTCGTTCTTGCAGGTAAAATCCCCAACCCTTTTTCATTGATTTGCAGAGTTAGACAAAAAGGGGGTTCTCATGAATTGATTCGTGAAAATACAAGTTGAACCATACATGCATGTTCTTTAATATCTAAAATCTAGTAAGAGGAATTGGGTAGGAGTAAAGATTTGCAAAAAGGAGCGGTTGATCACCTAAATAAGTTCGGATTGTATTTATGAACTTCAATTCTAAGAAATATGTGTTAACTTGTGAACTAGATTGACGGTACTAGGCTGTTTGGTGAATTGAAAGTAGAAGTTAAAAAGGGAAATTCGACTCCAGGTATGTATGGCTAACTTTAACCTTTGTAAAGTTACTATGCTTGGTGTACGAGTAATTGGTATGCGTTTCTTATGTGGACTATTTTGAATTCTATTTGCTTCACGGGTGTTAGGGCAAGATGGCCTATTTCATGAATTCTTGTGACTAAATTGCCTTGAACATTGTTGGTTAACGTTCCGATATGACGGTGCGAATAAATGGCAACAAACCAAGTGTGTGTGTGAATGTGTTTATGTGGTAAGGGCAGTGAAATAAATGATGGAAAGAAGTCGTGATTAATGCAATTGAAACAACTGTGGTAACATCATGTGTGGCTTGTCGTGGGCAATTATCGTTGTGACTTAAATTGTTATTGTTGCTGTGAAATGATATTCGGGATGGCCTGAAGCCATATGATTGAACTGTGAACTATTGTTGTTGTGTTAAATGTGAATGTCCGGTGGGATCGGGCTGCATGCCGCAACAAGAAGTTATAAGGTGTGGGTTGTGGTGATAAGGGTAGCCGAGGTAATAAGGGTGGCCGAAGTAATAAGGGCGGAAAAGTGATCATATTCACTATTGAAATGAAAATGTATGAAACTCTTGAGTATGAAATGATGTTGAAAGGGAAAAAAAGGAGAGATTGTGAAACTTGTTGGCTTTGGTTGTTCCTTCATGTGCATTTGATTGTTGATTCTATTACTGTTTGTTATCTATGTATTGATTGATTTTACTTGGGGTAAAATTTGTTCATACATACCAGTACAATTCAAATGTACCGACATCCCTTTTGCCGGGGGTGCTACATTCTTGTTATGATTGTAGGTGGTTCTATAGCAGGTACTCCAGTCCACCGACAGTAGCACCTCCTCCACTTTCCGTCAGCTGTATTGGTGAGCCCCTTTCCTCTCCGGGCCCTGCGTGGCTCATGCCGCTTTTCTTCCCGGAGTCTTATTTTTGGTATTTGTGTAAGGTATAGCCGGAGCCTTGTTACCGACAAGTATTGTAAAACTCTTTTGTATCCCTAGAGTCTTCGTAGACAGGAAATGTGGGTTATGTACTTATGTATTTTGTATTTGGGCAGTATAACTTGTAACCACGTAAAGTAAGAATGTGTTTAATCATAAACGGCTATTTCACTTGAATAATGGGTATAGAAATCACGGGGTAACACGTGGGTTAGGAAAGGCACCCAGGTCCGCTTGACTGGGGCTACCCGGTCGAGCGCCGGTCGCGCCCCTCGATTTTGGGGCGTGACAGCATGCTATTTGTAGATGATATTGTATTGATTGACAAGACGCGAGACAGTGTGAATGCGCAATTAGAGGTATGGAGGCAGACCCTGGAGTCTAAAGGTTTCAAGTTGAGTAGGACCAAGACAGAATACTTGGTAAGTTTAGTGGTGAGACTCAAGGAGGGGAAGGGAAGGTGAGGCTGGACTCACATGTCATCCCTATGAGAGAAAGTTATAAGTATCTTGGGTCTATTATTCAGGGGGATGAGGAGATTGATGAAGACGTCACACATCGTATTGGGGCGGGTTGGATGAAATGGAGACTCACTTCCAGTGTTTTGTGTGACAAGAAGGTGCCACCGAAACTTAAAGGTAATTACAGAGTGGTGGTCAAGCCAACGATGTTTGTATGGGGCTGAGTGTTGGCCAGTCAAGATCGCTCATGTCCAAAAGATAAAGGTAGCAGAGATGAGGATGTTGAGATGGATGTGCGGGCACACCAGGTTAGATAGGATCAGAAATGAGGTTATTTGCGACAAGGTGGGCGTGACCCCTATCGAGGACAAGATGCGGGAAGCGCAGCTTAGGCGGTTTGGTCATGTGAGGAGGAGGATCACAGACACCCCGGTGAGGAGGTGTGAGAGGTTGACATTGGAGGGCCTACGGAGAGGTAGAGATAGGCCAAAGAAGAGGTGATTAGGCAAGACATGGCGCAACTCCAGCTGACCGAGGACATGGCCCTTGATAGGAAGGTATGGAGGTCGATGATTAGGGTAGTAGAGTAGGTAGTCTAGAGTGTTCATAACAGTATTATTGGCACGCAGTCTCGCTTTCTGTTGGTAATAGGTTTTTATGACTAACCGTTATATTCTTTCATTGGTGATCACCTTACTATCTTGTTGTTTTTATTCTGCTTTTTGGTACTGTCCCTTTTGTCTATATTTTTCATTAATATGGTGCTCATGCTTTCCTAAGTCGAGGGTTTACTGGAAACATCATCTCTATCCTCACAAGGTAGGGGTAAGGTCTGTGTACACACTACCCTCACCAGACCCCATGGTGTGGGATAATACTAGGTATGTTGTTATTGTTAGAGTATATATAATGTTGGAACAAAATAATTGAGCAAAGTTTTCAAGCATATATAACGTATATTATAGATATACCTCTATTTTATATAATTATGAATGAGATATGTCCTTTAAAAGCTTTTATTCTTTTTCAATCTCAATAGTGTAAATAAAATTTAGAGGTTTTTTTGTTATTATTAAAATTATTAATACGAACAAATTAATCTACTTAAATATTTATCATGCTCAATTATTTTATTCATCAATTTTATGTACTTAAAACTCTTTTTTTATAACTCAAACATAAATTTTAATATAATATTTATGTAATTTAAAAAAATTACTCATCGAGACCAGGTACAACGCGTAACACCCGTGCTTAAGACTAATTAAATAATAGTTTATAAAAAAGTTGGGTTAGTGTCAGCAACAGGTGATAGATTGGGCCAAATTCACCATAAAAATCAATAACTCAAAATCTCTATATAATTTATTGTCGAAAGTTCAAATGACGCTGCATTAATCCGCAAAATATTCTCTTGTAGTTAGGGGTACTGCAAATTATCTTTATGTTACGAATAAACTAGAAATTGGAAGTAATTATTATTTGAATAAATATATTTACTTTTTAATTAGAAAAATAGTGACTCGTAAATCGTGATCTTTAGAAAGATTATGAAGTAATAACAAAATCCCATTGGCTCTCTTTCTCAACTCAGTTTTCAGTTTAAGTTCCCACAGTAATGAATTTTGCTCCTTCCAATGGACACCATCGTTAACTCAGCGCTCGAAGAAATCTGCGCGCATGGCGAATCTGGTCTTCCTGTCTCTAAACTCTGGCAAAAGTTACGGCCTTCAATTTCAAATCAAGGCCTTAAACTTTGCCCAAACGTCAAAAAGGTCCTTTGGTCGAACCTTATTGACATTCCAGGCCTTAAATTCGAATCCCATGGCGTTGTTTATAATTCTCAGGAGGATAATTGTATTCGATCGGTGGAGCAAAGTGAGCGATTGAATTTGAAAATTATAGCGCCGGATTATATGTGTGATAATTTCGTTGGAATTTATGATATTGAAGCCTCTGATGCTAAGCTTTCTAAGCCTGAACGTCGTGCTCTTGGTTGCCTCGCCACTCTTAGGTTTTCATTCAATTCTTTCTCTGTTTCTTTTCTGAGCATATATCAATTGCCTACCATTACTTACATAGTTCGAGTGAGCACGAAATTTAAGAAAAAAATTACTTTCCAAACGTTGTAGTTACAGTATAAATCATTTTGTTAAGGGTAAAATAAGAAGTTTAGGATTAAATTATTTTTAAATATAAGAATGCACATTCCTTATGTAATAGGAAATCCTGGCATATAAATTGGAACATAAGGAATACTATTTTTTTTCGAGGAGTGAGGTAGCTTGTGTTCACCTTGACTAATGTAAACTACTATAGACTAAAATCGTAGATGTTGGGTAAACTTGAAGAAAATGGGCTCACATGAGGGTTGTAATTGGGATTTGAACCTGGAATCTCCAGGTTGTTAATCTTATGCATCACTCATCCCTTTGGGACGAGCATATAGCAATTATATAAGCTGTCGTAAATCAGCAGTCTTTTTTTGTAGCGAAATTTGGTGAAATCATGCTTATGCTGTGCTTAGTTAGAGGTTGTAGTTTTACTCTATGTGATTTGAAAGGTGGGAATTTAAGTGAAACCTTGAGAAAATTTGGAGAAGATAAAGAAAGTTATTCATTGGGTTGGGGCTTATAGATGATATTTGAAATTCTTTTGTCAAATAAGTGTTTGTTTTACAATCTGGTCCATTCTTTTAACTTCAACTTTTTTTTTAAATGGTAAGGTATTATAGATGTAAAACAATCAGCACTAAGAGAACTTCAACTTGAAATAGAGAATTTGAAATTTGAAAAAGTTGTTTGAGAAGTGTTCCAATTTTTAAATGAAGCAATAGTTTCGACACACAAAATTTTAACTTTTTTTCCAAGTGAAAGTCATGTCTTCCAAATACCCTTTTTCAACTTCCACTTCAAATACTCTTTTTTTTCATAGTAATGGAAGTAACTATATTGCTGATCAAAGTCTCTTAACTATGACCGAGTTTCAGAGGAAATGGAATCGCCCAAAATGAGCTTGGTAAAGACTTTGACATTAAAGGAAATGACATGTTCTACATATTGAAGAAGCTTGAAAGCCGAGGATTGATTGTCAGACAGTCAACAATTGTTAGGACAAGAGACATGGACGGAGAAGGGGACTTGAAAAAAAATCCAGTTAATACCAATATGCTCTACTTATCACGCTACGCAAAGAATTTGGGTAGTCAACAAAGGCTTGAGATAACCAAGGGGGATAATTCCTTGGCGGATAGTGAGATCATTGATGGAAGAGATGAAAATAGTGGTGGTGTCGCTGAGGAATCTCTTAAAGTAGATGTGCATGTAAAAGATTTTCTTCCGGAACTAGAAGCTATCTGTGATAAGCTTGAAAAAGCTGAAGGAAAGGTTGGTTGTAAAGTTGAATGCTACATCTATCTGGTTTTTAATGTACGCTATTGCTGATTCTTTTATTTCTTTTCATGTACAAAGGTCCTTGCTATAACAGATATCAAGCAAGAACTTGGTTACCGAATGACTTCCGGGCATAGGCGATGGAGATTTGTACCTTCTTTTCCACTGATTTCCTTTCTATTATGTTTTACCTTAAGTATATTCCAACTTGTGAACCCATCACATGCATCATAATTGAATCTTTTACCAAAACTTTTACCCTAGGTTCTCAACAAGCTGAAGGAGGCTCAAGTGGTGAAGAAGGAAAAAGTCATAGTAGACGGGAAGGTAAGTGAAAAGTACTTTATAAGTACCAATGCTGTGGGTTTTATCTATTACACTTTTTTGGGTCAAATATCTATTACACTTTTACAAATATCTAAGACATCATGGAAGTGCTCATGACTCCACTGCATATTCTCCCATTTCTTTTATTGTTTCTCTTTTTCATCTATGGAATTAGGTCCAAGGGTAGTATAATTAGTTTTCTAAAATTTTCTCCTATTGGAATGAACACCTTTGTTGGGAATCCGCTGAAAATTGGTCGAATTACACCTGCTTTCTGAACAAATTTAATCTAGTGGAATGCAGTTTCATTATTGTTGATCATTTATGCTAGGTTTCTTTATTGTTTGATAGGTGTTTCAACCAACTTTATCACTTACAATAAAGAATATTTTTGACTAGATCTTTTGCAGCTGTTTAATCCAATTTCTACTGAAACTTTAGATGTAGAAAAGGCCTTGCTTTAATCATAGAATTGTACAATACTTATAGGAGAACAAGTACATCAACATAGACTAATTAATCCCTAGTTCGTAGGAGATCCTTGGATCAAGGGATTTCATCTGAATTGTTTCCTAGAATAAGTCCTAACAACTTTTCCTAAAATATCTGCTAACCTATATTTACAGGAGCAGATTATAATCAAATCCGTCAGCTCATTCGAGGAGCAGATTATTATCAAATCTGCCAACTCATTTGACACTCCCCCTCAAGTTGGCATGTAAATGTTGAACATGGCTAACTTACTGACGGAAGACTCAAAAGTAGTTCTAAAAAGACCTTTTATGAAAATATCCGCAACTTGTTCAGTAAGCTATAAGAGTTGGATCTGGAGATTGGTAGTGGGTATTGTCTTTTGCTAAGTTACTCTTAATGACATAACTGAAGTTTGTGTCCAAAGAATAGGGAAAAGATTCATGGGGTTGAGCTGATCGTTTTCTTTAACTTTTCCCTTATTTTTTTTCTG